CATTCAAAAGCTTACAACTTTATATTACACATTAGTTCAACTGAAATTGAAAACCGAAATTATTGGTATCAGGATTAGAAACGGTGTACCCAACACTCTGGGGCTCAGTTGCACCGAATCAAAGCCAGAACTCAAAATGTTGTTTCTCATTTCAGCCATGCTGAAACCTATTAGAATCCCGCATTTCGGTTTGAATTTCAGCCCAAGCCGAAATGGAAACCAAAACTACTTGTACCAATCACCCTGAAATTTAGTCCGCAGATGGTAAATAAATTTCAAGGTGTTTGACATGAGTAGTTTTGGTTTCCGTTTTGGCTTGGGCTGAAATTCAAACCAAAATTCGGGATTCTAATAGGTTTTGGGATGGCTGGAATGAGAAACAACATTTTGAGTTCTGGCTTTGATTTCGGTGCAACTGAGACCCAGAGTCTTGGGTACACCGTTTCTAATCCTGATACCGATAATTTTGGTTTTCAATTTCAGTTGAACTTTTGTGTAATATAAAGTCGTACTATTAGAGACCACCTACTTGGCCACCCTACCTAGTTGGCCACTTGAGAGCTAGATGGCCAGGGCTTGATAATTATGACTGGGCATAATATACAAAGAGAGTACGACCTCCAACGAATGTTCAGACCAAATTTCAGCCGAAAGTGATGGGTTGATCGAAAGCTACGGCATTGGCAATCGGGATCCGAAGCGTGGGGACATCAATTTCTTGCCATCGGACCGCTCGCCTCACTTGTCATCGCCATTTCTTCACCATTTCTTTGTCAATCCACGGACTTTAGGGCTTGTTCTTATCCCCTGAAGCTGGGCCTCTGTCTATAATGCTATTGGATGAAAATGGGCTGAACTACCTTCCTTAACATACTCGGGAAATCACGACTGCTTTTTCGGGTCAGTCATCCTGGCCACCGTCGCGGTGCACAATGCCTCCCAGCCATCAGTCTGGAACCTTACACAGGACTTTATAATATCCTATCCTTCATTCTGAGAGGTATTTCGAGATTTTATCGATTCATCTCTGATCGCTGTGCAGGCCACTATCTCAAATCACCCAATTTTGGTCTTGTTAATAGTCGGATTTTTTGGAAGAGCTACCAGCATCTTGGAATGGATTTGGGCATTCAGGTACGTCTAAATACTTCTCATTAAGTAGCCTAGATCTTAATTTGGCCCATCTCGGCTTTTTTTGAGTTGCAGAACACTCGTTCATCTCACGGCCCCAATTTTGAGGATTTTCCCTCAGTCGGAACCAGATATTCTGACCATTTCTATACCTTATATCTACACCAGAACCATTTAAAATAGTCAATATAGCCTCTATCTATGCATACAAGTGCAGTCAACTGCCATTTGAGAGCTCAACACATTACTTGGCGGAGTGGCCAACTAGCCTGTTCTTTGGCCATGTTCGACTGCCGGTCAAGATAAATTCACTATGGACTCAAATCCTCGAATATTTCGGTGTGCCGGTGTGCTAAAACTCCTCACAGAATGCATGTATCCATTCTGACATAGTTTGCGTGGGATCGGCCCAAGGAGAGGACGAAGGTTGGGGCATAAATACTTAAGTGGCCAGGTACCTGGTCAAATATAGTAAGCTTTTGACTGGGTTTCAGGACAGCCAAATCATAATTTTTTCTACTACAAAACCAGTGGGACCAAAAGTACCGGAAGTAAATTAAGTTTCAGGCCCACCCACTTGCAACTCAACACTTGGGTGTCTAAATTGCACCTGGGTGAGCCCAAAATTTGATAATTGTTGGTGTGATTCGCGTTCAGTATGATAAGTCCGGAATAAATGTCGCCTTGGTGGCGCCGGTACCCCTCTTTGACACATCTAGGTATTTTCGGATGAGGCAACGGAGATTCGGTCATAGCGGAGCAGGATCTGGGAGGCGGGAACCGCCCCACAGAATGTAAATTTACTCCGCTCGATCCTGTTGTATTAATTGCACTGTATAGATGTCTTACCTGACTCGAATCTCATAAATATTAATGTTCACGTTGTACGAAAGACCGGTAAACTCACAACGTATGAGGGAGATTCTGGACAGCTACAAAATGTCTTTGCTTTCGTCATAGACGATTTCGAATAGCAGAGCTGGCACTGTTGTGTGAGCGTCACATGCAATCGATACCAAAAATACACGGACCATCAATCTCCCCAGATCACCGTTTCGCAATGAAGCTTTCGGCTCGGCTCCAAAGCTCAGTCGGGAATACGGGATGGCCATCCAACTCCGGCGCATTCTGAATCAGTGTTGGTGCGATAGAACAGCGGATCAAGAAGACAAAGTAAGTTCGAATTCTGGTTGATGTGAGGGGGTATCACGCACCATTCTTTGACGCGCCGTACGACTGACATGAGATTCGGGATCGATACGGGTCGCGAAAGAGCCGAGATTTCGAACATTTGTCTCTCTGGCTCGGGAGGAAGGGCTGGCGCGGAGACTTCCGGTTGCATGTTTTGAGGGTAGGGATCTTGGAGAATCGACGTTGCGCTGGACAGCGGTGAGTGTGGGGGATTGAGTGGCACACAGTCATCGCTGGGCTTTATAATACTAGTACTAGGGAGAATAAAGGTTAACCGGCGGTGTCTGATGAGTACATGATGTCCCCCGATGCCCAATTTAACCGAGCCTCCGTAGCGAAAAAGCGGCTCCCCCCCCTGCTGCGGGACGCCAGTCTGCGTAGCGGCTTGATCTTTGAACACAACTGACTGTCGATTATTATGAGCCTGTGGCATCAATAGGTCCGGATCTCTTGACATTTCAGTTCGTATGCCCTTTGTGCGTCTCAAAATCAGGCGGGACCCTAACGCGCGCAGGCTCACCCACCAACCGCTCCGCACGGTTCCCCGCTCTCGCAGTCGGGGCATATTAGTACCGACGCATACGGCGCTTGTATGTGCGCGACCGCCGGCGCATCCACCTTCATGATGCCGTCGGGGACCGTGCTCATGATCAGAATGAATCCGTTATTCCGCTCCACCTCACTTTTTTTTTCTGAACTACAGGCGTTCAAGTTGCGTTCAAGAATCTGGTGAAGATAAAAGTTCCAAAGCCCGCGAGTATGCCAAGCGGAGCCGTCGACGGATATAACATTGATTGTCGCTATTCGCACATCGCAATCGACTCCGGCAGCCAAAAGGTGCCGAGATAACCGGTTGAATAACCGGTGTAATCCCTCACGCTGCCAGCTCACGCGCCGACTCCAAGGCGGTGCGCACGCTGACTGCGCCTCACGCCGCTCCACGCCTACTAGTACTACAAGTGTCTCGAGCCCGCCATGTCCTCAACCTCAAACCAGGTGCCCTCAGGAGTCATGACCTCGCCGGTCTTCCGTGCGTAGCCATACTTACTCACCGATCCTCGCACGGGCAGCCGATAATTTTATGCAGGGTACGCGGTCCTTATCGTTATGTGCGTCGTCGTCATCATGGCCGCAGGCGTGTGCTACCGCACGCGCGTGTACCAGCGGCGCATGCGGCACTTCGCCGCCACGCATCCTGGGTTCCAGCCCGCCGCGGCGGCCGCCCGCGACTGGGGCCCAGCACCCCGCCTCTTTGACGTGTATCTCCAGCCGCCGAGCGAAAAACGGGACGCGGAGTGGGGAGATCTCATGGTGCGTGGCCGCGCTCAAGCTCTTGCAGTTGCTCACCATAGCGAAGCCAATATCCATCACGCGCGGAGGCCTCGACAGCTCGGGCGCCTCTTCAACGGCGCACGTCTCCACCATGATCAGCATGCCCTTTTCACAGCCGCACCCCGTTCCCGATGACGAGCGGCCCCTGCCGCACCTGGAGATTGGGCTCTCCGATGTCGATGCGCGATTGGCGGACGAAAACGCAGGGCGCTCGAGTGCAGAGTCGGCGTCGAACACGAAATGAGCGTGAACGAATTTACGAAAGGAAAAGAGATACGATGCGATTGTAGGTTTCATGATGCGAAGTTACGATTAATCTGTACAGATTTATGTGGTGTAAGTTGGAATGCGATCAGTGCTCTCATATATATATCCGGCAACGCGGCCAGCTTAGTCTCAACCCCCTGTTTGGGTCTCGGTTTGCCACACCGCTCACGCGGAAAGCAACTTTTGGTCGCATTGAATCCAAACCCTTCCCAACACTCATCTCCCGCCCACGAGAACGCGTCGCGCGAATCCCAGCGACCTCCACCTGCTCCGTGACCTCTTTGCGTAGCCTAAACCACACGGTATTGGACCGTACGAAAACTGCCACGGTTTCGACCGGCCTCGACGCGATCTGTCAGGTATCCGAAATCGAATCGGAATCGCGGTGGACGTTCGTAGGCTAGGGAAACGAGAGAGATGGAAAGATGGAAAAAGAGGCAACCATAAGACAGTCGAGCCCCGTCTTGCTGCTCCGACAGTTTTAGACATCCAGCTCAGAAATTGCACCCGTGCACCGTGCACCCCATCCGCTGAATTTGTGCTCTGATCAGTATATGCAGCCTTTCCAGTACCCTGGGATCAGAAAAGAAAGGAAAAAAAGGATTCATTATACGCCAGCACCCATGCGCACGCGGGGAGTCGAACCCCGTTCAACTGCTCGAATCAACCCCCGAAGAGCTATCAGGTGCAGCAGTGCGCCGCGCACCACGTCCGCTCATTACCTCCATTTTAGGCCTCGATATATGCAGACCTTCAGTCAGTGACCTGGATAAAATTATCAAAAGCAATTGAACCCAAGATGAAGACTAGGCGGACGCCGGGAGTCGAGCCCAGTCTTTCTGCTTCAACTCCATTCCCCAGATCAAGAGATGCAGTGGTGCTCAGTACACTACTTCCGCTCATTACCTCCCTTCCTGCCCTCTGTATATGCGCGCAGAGATGTACCAGGCAGCCTACAGCAAAGTCTTTGCCACATTTTTGCCGCTGCAGGCAGACTGGCTCTGAGCCTACCCAATTTTCTGGCTAGAATGCCCAATATTGCGTGAATAAAATTATAAAAAGCAATCGAACACAAAACACGCGGACGCGGGGAGTCGAACCCCGTCTTGCTGCTCTCACAGTTTTGCACACCCAATTAAGAATTGCAGCCGTGCACCGTGCACCACATCCGCTGGATCTGAGCCCGATATATGCAGGCTTTCAGCACCTTAGACCAGAAAACAGAGAAAAACTGTCACCAGATCTGTCCCATGTGGACGCGGGAATCGAACCCCGTTCAACTACTCGAATGATCACACCAAGGAATCAAGTGCAGCAGTGCGCCGTGCACCACGTCCACTCATTAACTTCATTTTAGGCCTCAATATGCGTAGAGTCCCAGTCGGTAACCTGAATAAAATTATCAAAGTGGTCGAACCAGCGACGCGGACGACGCGGAAGCGGGGAGTCGAACCCCGTCCTGCTTCAACTTTTCTACCTCAGAGCTCCGGAGATGCGCCATACACCACGTCCACTTACCACCTCCATTCTTGCCCTGTCAAACTAGGTGTTGAACTCTTCCATGCTCTGCTTCATGCCAGACACACGGCCATCATCGGCTCCTTGCCACATATTTTTTGCCGCAGGCAGGGTGGTTCCGAGTCTACGCGACTTTCTGCTTCGATTCGCTAGATTCTCAGTGTAGTACAAGGTTCAACTCTAATTATATTGCAGACCTCGATTGTTCTTCTGAAGAAAAAAACTGTGAACAACGATAAGGCGGATGCGGGGATTCGAACCCCGTCTTGCTGCTCCCACAGTATTATGTAGACACTCGGCGAAGAAAGTGCAGCCGTGCACCGTGCACTACATTCGCTGAATTCTCTATTTCTGCGCTCCATATATGCAGTCTTTTGGCACCCTCGGACCAGAAAAAAGAAGAAAACACGGTGGACAAGATTCATGCGGACGCGGGGAATCGAACCCCGTTCAACTGCTCGAATCAGCCCCGGAAGAGCTATCAGGGTATTAATTGCAGTGGTGCGCCGGGCACCACGTCCGCTCATTACCTGCATTTCAAGCCTCGATATACACAGAGCTTCAGTCGGTACCCTGAATAAAATTATCAAAAGTGGTCGAACCAGCGACGCGGACGACGCGGACGCGGGGAGTCGAACCCCGTCTTGTTGCTCCCACAGTGTTATGTAGATACAAAGAAAGTACAGCCGTGCACCGTGCACCACATCTGCTGAATTTCTCTATCTCTGTGAGCAGTGTATATAGCACCCTCGGACCAGAAAACAATAAAAATAATACCCCTGGTACATGCGGACGCGGGGAGTCGAACCCCGTTCAGATGCTCGAATCTGCCGACCCAGAAGATCAAGCGCAACGGTGCGCCGTGCACCACGTCCGCTCATTACCTCCATTCTAGGCCTTAATACACACAGTGCTTCAGCCGGTACCCTCAATAAAATTATAAAAAGCAATCGAACAACGCAGGGAGTCAAACCCCGTCTTCCTGCTTCAACGATTTATTGGGGGACCCATAAGATACAGTGCACCGTACGCTACTTGTATTACCTACATTCGTACAGTATATGCAAACTAGGTGTTGAAACTTTCGCCCGCTCCACTTCATGCCGGACATACGGCCATCAGCGGCAACTCAATGATGGTAAATGATCACATCGCTCAATTGGGACGTTCTCTGCACCAACGCGCAACTCACGCCCGGAATCGCTGGGCTCCCGCCACCGTAGGCATCGTAGACGACAATGCCTCCCCCAAGAAAATCCTCAACACACAGTCAATCTCGCAAGCCTCACTCACGGCTTCAGGCCCCAGGACCCAGGTGTCGCTGCTCATGCTGGAAGCACACATTTTTGTTACCCGGTCCATCGCGCACATTAATATTGCGTTCTACGAGCCACCCACGATGCCGCATGTCCTCACCAGAGGATCGATAAAAACCGCCAGTGCAGGAGCCATAAAAGCCACCTACCAATCATATGCGCATAGTCGCCCTGTCCACGGTTCGTCCGTCATCGTTTCTCTTTTGCTGAAAGATAGAACGCTCGCACAGGTCGAGTTTTGGACCGCTGCGCGGCACGTTTGGGCGCATTGATTTGGATATGCTCAATACATCTTGAATCGCCCATCATATGCATCTTCCGCGCGATCTCTACGAGTGAGTCTGTTGCATGCATCATGTTCTGTGCTTTCCCTCTTCCTTATACACATACTTTTCCTTCGCTCGGGCCCTACACTCTCTACTGTCGCCCACTCGCCTTCCTACTTCGCCGCCCTCACTACGCACGCCCTCTCCTGCAACGCATCGCCTATTTGTACCCCTACACATCTCCACTCGTATCCCCTCCTCATTTGGCTGGTCTCGCATTCTCCCGCACATCTCTCTCCTCTCCCTCCTCCGTCCTGTATACGTCGTGCTCAATCCTTCCTGACCCTACAGACGCTGCACACCTTCAAGCCCCTACTCGCACTCCAATCTGTACTCCCCCTTTTGCGCGGCGCCCAACACTCGGAGGCTTGCGTGGCGCACTTCACGGGGTGGTGGGCCTGGACCCTGGGAAGGGCGAGCGCGAGGAGGCTTGGCATGTTCGTGCGGGGCACGGGCGCGGGCGCTCCATCGCGCGACGTCGTGGATAACGTGGCGCATCATCCTCGCTCCGACCGTGGCCGGTGGTACGCGGCGCTGGTCCCGGGTGTGTGGGGCGTGCTCTTGGGCGTGCGTGCGTGCGCGACGAGCGACGCAGATGTGGACACGGGTGCTGCGTCGTGAGGAGGGGCGCACGCCGACAGTGGCGATGACGTGGCGGGCGCAGACGGCATTGTACGGCGCTGTCGAGTCGCCACCTGTTGTACAGCGTACGCCGTCCTTCTCGCGGCCCGGGAAAGTGCTGGGGCGCGGCCTCGACGGGCAAGGAACAGCACCCTCGCCCGCCGGAGTGCTGGGCGTGTGTCCGCGCGCCGCTGGTGTCCACGCGTCCTGTACTGGCGTTGTCAGCGAGTGGAGGGGGGCGCGGGTACGGGTACGGGCGAGGCGTGGGGACCGAGATGGTCTCTTCCTCGCGGGTTAGGATGCGGGGATCGCTGCGTCCGGGGGCGGCGGCGGTTACGTGCGGCTTGTTCCCATACGCGTCCTCTTGCGCCTTGTGCAGGGGCGAGACCGGCCGAATGGCCGTGCCCAAGCCCCTGCGGAGCATGTGTTCTGCTCGCGTCCTAGGCGCGTGTGCGCGCGCCGCTGGTGTCCGCGCGTCCTGTACTGGCGCTACCAGCGAGTGGGCGGGGGCGGGGGTGCGGGTGCGGGTGCGGGTGCGGGCGAGGCGTGGGGACCGAGATGGTCTCTTCCTCGCTGGTTAGGATGTGGGGGTCGCTGCGTCCGGGGGCGGCGGCGGCGATGTGCGGCTCGTTTCCAGTCGCGTCCTCTTACGCCGGTACTGCTGGCGTTGTCAGCGAGTGAGGGCGGCGCGGGTGTGGGTGCGGGCGAGACGCGTGGACCGACCTCACGGATTCGAGCTAGGATGAGGGGGCGCAGGATCGCTGAGCCCGGGGGCGGAGGCGGCGACGTGAGACACGACTTGCGCCTTGTGCAGGGGCGAGACTGGGCGATCGGCCATGCCCAAGCTCCCGTTCTGCTCACGTCCTGTGCGCCGCTGGCGTCCCGCGCGTCCTGTACTGACGCTGTCGGCGAGTGGGCGTGCGGGTGTGGGTGCGGGTGCTGCGTCGCGACATCGGCTGACGCGGCCTTGAGCGGAATATGGCCACGATGACGTGGCGGGCGCTCCAAGTCGAGATTGCGGGAGTGCGCGTCTCTTGTGTGCTTGATGCAAGTGCGGCTTCACGCTGGCGCGCGTCTCCTTCCCATTTTCTCATTTTCTCATTTTTGCGCCGCTCGTCCATGTCGTGCGGGAACCCGGAGAGGAGCGCGTGTGGGCGAGATAGTCGATGGCTGGGAACCGTGTCCGTTGTGCTCCTCCTTGCGGGCGATTCCGTCTGAGGACAAACGTGGGCGATTGCGGATGAGGATACGGTGTTCGTCCTGAACGGAATCGTTCCGGCCAGTCCGACTTTCCGCCGCGATATGGGCGTCCTCCGGTTGTGTTGCCGTTGGGGCGCGTCGGGTGTGGGCGTGCTGGGTAGGGCGCGGGTGGAGGCGGGGCGTGTCGTCCACGGTTTTTGCGCGTTCCGTGGGTCTTAGGGAGGCAGGGGCTGCGGGGGCACCTTGCAGGGCCGCGATGGCCACGATCCATACCTCCTTCACCATGCTCTCGTTATTCTTTCCTGCACCGACATTATCTTCCGTAGGCCTCGCTGTGAACGATTTCATCTCATCCCCTCCCCCGTCGTTTTTCTTCCTTCGCACCGTCCCTGGCCGACCTGGTTTTACACCATTCCTCTTATCCTTCTGCCGCGCTCCGCTCCCCGTCTTTGTTCTGAGTTACGCCTTTCTTCACACCGGCCTGTCTTTTTTTTTTTCACATGTTTCCTATATTGCCTGCCGTACGTTCTCTCATGCCACCCGGCTCGACTGCTCGCTCGTCAGACTACAGTCCCTATCCGCCACGCCCTTTCCCCTTATCTCCATCTACTCTCCAAGTCGCTTAATCGGACGCCTTGTATTGGTACACGGCGGCTAAAATGACATAAAGACGGCTGAATGATCTACAATTTCCGCGGAGCCCCGCGAGCGTGGGGCAGAATTTTGGAACGCTCAACAGCAAACCTCTCGCGCATCCTCGGCCTTGATCCCATACTGTACTTGCCGTGACAGCTTTTTCTTTCTGCTCGTATCACGCTTCGAAATAACTGTACACTCGCACTCCAAATGGCGGAACCTCCGTCCTCTCCAGCTACCTACGACTCGGAAGCGCCCTTCTGTCGGCGCTCAGGCACGCCAGGGTCCTAATCTCTAGGAGAGACCAATAAGTTGAAGCGGGTTTCAAAGGCAACGAACCAGGACATCCAGAATTCCACTATATCCTATTGTGTGTATGTTCGATTATCGCCAGCCCGTGTTCCGTCGAGAAGAACACTTACTACATCAACACTCTTACGATATCAACACCACTGGTAGCACTCCTGCCCTGGAGGTGTAATTTTTCAGTTGGCCAGCTCCTTGTAAACCTTCCAGAATGATCGCCTCCCATGTTTCGAGAGTCAGAATATCCTC